GCCCCAACTGGCCCCCGTTGAGCTTGTCACCGACACCGCTGACATCGTCTTCGCCTTGCATTCTGCATATGCCTTCTCTAGGCATTCTTGAGTACATCCATATGGTATGTTAGGTGATGCACTATCCTCCTTGGTCACATCATGGCACTTTACTTATCGGCCCTTGACATGGCCCAAAGGCGACATATGCATGTCGCCAACGCTTGCACACTTGGTGAGGGTCTCAACCCACTCTCTTATATAGGGTTGAGACACTGGGCGTGTCGTTGTGCTTTGGATGTTGTGTGTGCAGTAAAGCTGTCTTCTTCTCTTGACTTGGTTCCAAGGACTTGAAGTCAATTATGATCATATCAGGGTTTTTGGACTTGATTAAGTGTTGTGATGTTTCCCTATTCGCTCGGGCTATGATTTTCCTCTCAATTTGATCAATTTATGTCCTATTTCCTTTCGATTATTCATTCCTGCAAAATATGTCTTATGTGCATAAATCTATCATAAAGAAACGAAAACTAACAATTAATACACATATAAATCTCACGAAATGTAGCTCACATAGTGCACTATAAAGAATATGAAAAAAGTTAGTGAGGTAAATATGGAGGAAGTAAATTACAAAATTATATTAAAATATTTAACTATTTAATTGATTTTTATGTTTTTAGATTTTAAAATAAAACTATGAAATTCGATGTACGTGTTTCTTACTAGCATATCTAATAGTTTTGACTATTTTTTGTAAATTCTGAGAAAATTAGTATGGATGAAAGTAAGTTTTTAAACGTGGATAAGTATTTCTGAAAAAAAGGATAGAAATACAAAAGTTCAGAAAAAATATTTAAATTAACAAATAAGTCTTCCATCCTTTTTCAATAATGTAAAAAATATTATTATTAATATTATGTCCATATTAGTACTATTTTATTGATTTTTCAGTAGATAACGAAAATGTCGATTCACTCCTTAGATGTTCGAACTCTTGAGCATGTAGAAATTTCGACTTTTAGTCTTGGTTCATTTTAGTCCCTGTATTTTGAAAATGTTCATTTTGGTCTTTATACTTTTAATTTTGGTTCATTTTAATCATTGTACCTTGAAAATGTTCACTTGGGTCTCTCTATTTTAAAAAAGTGATCATTTTAGTTCTTCTTTGTAAAATTTCAACACAAATTTTACACATAATGGAAACTCTTTTGTATAAAGTAATGTTTACAATTTAAGAAATATATTGATTACAGTGTCGAGTTGAAATTATGATAGACAAAAATAAGATTAAGAATAAAATTAAGGGACTAATATATAGACCAAAATGAAGCTTTTAAAAGTTATATAAATAACAATATAAATACGAGCTAAAGCGAGTCTAACTCAACGATAGGGGTGTAACAGACCGAACCAAACCGAAAAACCGACCCGAACCGAACCAGTTCGAGTCGGTTCGGTTAAGATAAAATTTGAACCGAACCGAAACCGACCCGAACTGAAAATTTTCGGTTCGGTTCGTTCGGTTTTGATTTAACCTAAAAAATTAAGTGTGCCTCACT